TCATCCGGCACCACCGCTTCGCTGTCCTTCACACTTGACTCCGGTGCATTTGTCTGCTTCTTCCGCGACCATGCCACACTCACGCCGCTTGCCGCGACTGCCGCTGTCGCACTTGCTGAGTCCTCCTGTGGTCTTGTCGTTGCTCGCAGCTACACTACCCTTCCCTACAGGCCTGCACATCCATTCGTTCTCCCGCAACGTAATTAGTGTCGGCTGTCTTCGGGACCTCGGCTTTACCACTACGTTCCCGGGTCACGAGCAGTACGCTGTCTGTACCGAGGCCGCCTCAGGTTCCCCCCTCGCGACGTTCCCTCAGGACCCGGTGTCTGGCCTATTTACGCTGTACACTGCTTTCTCCACGGATGGGGCGTCTACCCAGGTTGCCACAGTGTGCTTGTGTTAGTCGCTCACTCACCTATCTCTTCTGTGGCACCACCACCTAGGTCGCGCCGTACTCCCGCGTTTGCGTCACATGTCCCAGCACAGTCTCGTCCTAGGTCTCCCTGCATCGCTTCCTGCCCTCCCTCGCTCGCCTGTGCCGCCATGCACACCTTGCGTCGAGGTTCGGCTGCGCCGTGCTCCTCACTCCTCCTCGCTTCGCCCTGCCACTGCACCCCTCTAGACCCTGCACGCGGACGTCTGGGGCTCAGCCCCTGTCCCTGGACGGCGTCGCGAGCGCTACTTTCTAGTGCTCGTGGATGATTACACGCGCTACACCACGGTATTTCCCTTGGAGCGGAAGGCCGACGTGCCTGGCGTTCTTATCCCGTGAGTCATAGCTGCGCGCCTCCACTGCGGTCTCCCTGTGATGTGTCTCCACTCCGACCGTGGTGGCGAGTTCGCCTCTAGTCGGCTTGGACAGTTCTGTCGTGCGGAGGGCATCACCCAGTCGTACACCCTACTGGACTCTTCGTAGCAAAATGGGGTCGCTGAAGCATCGGTTTGGTGATAGAGGTGGCTCATACCTCCATGATTCATGCCCGTGCACTCCATTTCTGTGGCCGTTTGCTGTTCGCTACGCCGCTCACCAGCTTAACCTCTGGCCGAGCTCACAGTAGCCGCAGGTTTCGCCGACCCTTCTTTGGATCGGGTTCCCTGGTGACGCGTCTGCGTTCCATGTCTCGGGCTGCCTCGCTCACGTTGGTGCCTCTAGCAGGGACAAGCTCACTGGCCGCACTGTCCCTTGTGCCTTCCTCGGTTTCCCCCTTGACTTGTCTGAATGGCACTTTTACCACTCGCCGTCTCACCGCATCATTCACTCTCGTGACACCACTTTTGACAAGTCTGTCTCCATTTACCACCGCTTTCCCCACCGAGGTCTCCTGGTGTCCCCTCCCTTGTTTCAGGTTCCCACTTCCCAAGTAGCCACTGCTCACCTCCCTCCCCGTCCTGCTCCGTCTCGTGTGTCTCACGTCACTCCCCTCCCGTCGGTTGTTCCGGTCGAGGAATCGGCTGACTCTGGTGGGCCCGCCGCGCACTTCTCGCCACCTGTCTCTCTCCGGGTGTCTCCTCCTCCGCCATCGCAGTCGCTGCCACAGCAACAGCCGACGTCGCCGCCACCGCAAAAGTCGTTGCCGCCGCAGTAGCAGCAGTAGCCGTTCGTGGACTCTGAGGGTGCTGGCGTTGAGGAGGGTGCTAGTCCTGGGGTTCCTGTCATGGCTTCTCCCGGCAAGCTCGGGGGTGGTACCGGTACTGGAGAGGGTTCTCGCTCTGGGGGTGCTGGAGTGGAGTGTTCCGGAGGTAACCGCGGTGCAGCTGGCGGTCCAGGTTTCGGCGTTGAGCAGCAGCAACAGCATTCACCACCGGTGCACGCCCTTTGCCTGCTCAGCCTTCCCTCCACTGACCGCTCGCCTGCGCCTACCCTACTGCCTCCTCCCCTCCCTATCGATGGTCCTTTGTTTCCTCTGCCGGACTCGTCCTCGGCTCGTTTCCCACCTCGTTCCCCTCCTGTTACTCCTCCTCTGTCTCCTGACCGAACGCCTCCGTCTCACGTTTGGTCTCGCTGTCCCTCTTGTGCTCGTCCTGTCTCTCCAGCTAAGCGTTCTCACCCTATATTGCTTCGTTCCCATGCGTCTCGTCCTCCCCTCCTGCCTTTGCCTCCTCCGTCGTCGCTCGCTGTCGTGCCTCCCCCTATGTCTGACTACCTTGGTGTTGCTCGTCCTCTTGTTCCCCGGGTCCTTGCCTCCCTCATAACCGACCTGTCTGTTCTGGTCTCGAGTTTTGACGCTCTTGTTGCTGTTGTCGCCGACTTCGCCTCTACCCGCCGCCTTGACTACGCCACTGCTCTTGTCTCTCACCCTGTCCGTCCTCCGTCTGTCAGGTGTGCTCCTGCCCTTGGCAGTAATGTTCTAGAGGACACGCAGTACGAGCTCGCTTTCCTTTCGGAGGCTGCTTCTCATCTTTGTTCCATTCTGCTAGTCCATGAGGGTGACCCAGACGCCTTTGACATTCCGACCCCTCTCACTTACGCTGAGGCGACCTCGGGACCTTGTGCTTCTCAATGGATAGCTGCCATGGACCAGGAGATGGCAACTTGGAGATCCATCGGCACCAACGTCGATGTTGTTCCCCCATCTGGGGTGAACGTAGTTGATGGCCGATAGCTCTTCAAGGTGAAGCGCCCCCCTGGAGAGCCACATGCGTTCAAGGCGTGCTACGTGGCTAGAGGCTTCAGTTGGCCAGAGGGGGTGGACTCCTTTCAAACCTTCGCCCCGACCCCGAAGATGACTACTCTTCGAGCCCTGCTACACGTAGCAGCACAGTGCGACTAAGCGTTACACTCCCTCGACTTCTCCACAGCTTTTCTTCAGGGCAGCCTACATGAGTAGGTCTACATGTGCCGTTCTTAGGGCTTTACCAGTACCTTCCATCCTGGGACCCAATGGCTCCTCCGACGCCCAGTCTACGGCCTGCAACAGGCGCCCCGTGAGTGGCACGATACGCTGCGTGCTACACTAGCTGACATGTAGTTCTTTCCGTCCTCTGCAGACCCATTCCTTTTCGTTCGTGCCGGCCATATTATGTTCTACATCCTTGTCTATGTAGACGACCTAGTCTTCGCTACTGCAGACAGAGACGCGCTGGCCTTAGTGAAGGTCAACCTGCGGAGGAGACACACCTGCACTGACCTAGAAGAGCTGCGCTCCTACCTTGGCCTGCAGATCTCCAGGGACAGAGCAGCACGCACCATCACTCTCACACAGTCACACTTGGTGCGCTAGGTCCGTCAGAGGTTCGATCTTCAATTCTCCTCCGCACAGCCCACACCTCTGCCAGTAGACCATAGGCTCTCAGCTACAGTCTCAGAGGAGTTAGCAGAGCCCAGTGGTCCTTACGCAGAGCTGGTGGGTTGCCTCATGTACCTGATGACTTGTACTCGTCTAGATCTTGCATACCCTCTCAGCATCCTGGCTCGCTTTGTGGCCACAGGCAGACACCGACCGCAGCACTGGTCGGCCGCTAAGAGGGTTTTGCAATATCTAGCAAGTACATTGGGCATGGGGCTAGTGCTGGGAGGACGCAGACCAGTGGTCCTTACTGGCAACACAGACGCTTCTTGGGCAGACGACGCTGAGACCCTCAGGTCCTCCAAGGGCCACTGCTTTAGCCTTGGTTCAGGTGCCATTTCGTGGAGGTCCACTCGCTCCTCGTCTGTTGCCCAGTCTAGGTGTGAGGCTGAGATCTACGCCGGTGCCATGGCGGCACAGGAGCTCCGCTGGCTGACCTTCTTGCTCTCCGACTTAGGTGAGCGGCCTAGCTCTGCCCTGGTTCTGTATGCTGACAACAGGGCCATGATCCTCCTGTGTCAGGAGCCTCGACTTGAGGGCAGAGCGAAGCATATCCAGTTGCGGTATTTCCTCATGCGCGAGCTACAGAAGTGTCGTGAGGTCCGCGTAGTACACTTGGCCTCTGGTGCCAACATAGCTGATATCTTTACTAAGGCGCTTGCGCCTAAAGATCATCAGTGGCACTGCTTGCAGCTTGGTCTAGTTCATGTAGCTCATCACTTGCTAGGATCTTGACCAGAAGTAAATTATATTGAGTATACTTTCTTAGAAACTTAGGACTCAAGGTTCTTAAACTTAGGAGGCTAGGTTGGCTAGGATACTAGGAAGAAGGCCGCCATGGAATGGCGTGAGGAAAAACGGATCTAGGAAGGGAGAGAAAGTCGAGAAGAAAGAGAGATTGTTTAGGAAGAGAGAAGAGTACAAGAAGGGGTTTGTACCCTCTACAGAAAGGTTCAGTAACAACCTACCAAGCCTATATTAAATTATAACTTATATAATTTTAACATAATTCAGCAATTGGAGACGTGCACTGGTGTTTGCAAATTTCGGGTGTGAGCTGTCCTATTCGGGCATGTTTTATGGTTACACACCTAAAAGTTGTAACTTAACTGGGTGTTGAACAGATCACGTACTTTAGTGACACGCCCTTATGCGCCATTCCCTCGTAGTATTACTTTTAGGTAGAAGCAATCTGCATTCTTCTTGGTATGAAATAGGCTAAATGCTTAATTCTTTCCATAATCAAATATTGATCCTTCTGTTTCCTGATCTGAAGCATACCATGCAGTCAGCCAACAGGTCCGTGTTTTGTTGTAGCTCCACGTCATCCTCATCCTTCTCGCAATCGTGGCGTTTCACACCCTCCTCATCACACCCTTCCCCACCGAAGTGACAGACTCCTCCGTGCCACGTGTACCGTCTCACTTTTCCCCTCCCTTCCCAGCGCTCACAAAGCTCTCGCTCTCCCCGCACCAATGAGCTCCCAGGGTTTATCTCAGGCTTGCGGCCAGACGCCCCTTTCCGCCACACCCAACCAACCCTCAATGTCATCCAGCCCTACCTCCGGCCCCAGAGTCATCCCCCTGTTTCCTCATTAGCACCGCCCTGTCTTAGCTTTTGACTCGTTAAACCGCAACGAACTCCTCTACCCTCTCCCCGTCTTTTCTCCGCACCAGCCCTCCGCAGCCAACTCCCTCCCGCCCTCCCCCGTATCCCGCTCCGCAAGCAGCAGACTTCGTCCGTTTCGTCTATTCTCTCCCCTAACTCATCCTAACTCACAGGTTCAGACGCAACCAGACCAACTCGCCGCGTTTGGCGCTTTAGACCTCGCCGCTGCGACATCTCCATCAGCAGAGGGTCATGTCATTCGCACGGTGTTTATCGTCGTCCGCGGCAGCGGCGGCGACGGCGTCGACCAGCATGCTGTCGCTCTCCGCGTCGTTTAAATCCATGTCCGTGAGCGCTTCGGCCAGCCGCGCCGCCTCTGCTCAGAACTGCCGCGTCGTTTCGCGCTCCGCGTTCCTCGGCGCGAGACCCGCTGCGGCTCGCTTCTTCCCTGTGGCGGATCTGCTTCCCGCGGTGAATGCGCCGTCGCAACCGGCGTCGTCGACGCAACTGAAGGTGGTGGCGAAGGAGGGTTACAAGCTTAAGACGCACAAGGTGAGGTCTGAGACATTGCGCTCCGGGACACTTTCTACCTCCCGAAAATGTCGCGCTTTTTGGGCTCGTCCATAACTCCCAACTTCCTGCCTGGCCGTCCCTCCTCTCCGTCATTTTTCTCCCTCCTTTCTCGGTCGCCCTTTCCTTCCTTCCGTTCCCGTCCTTCTCTTTCCCTCCCTCTCCCCATTATCCCGTGCACCTCCCCTTTCTCCCCTTTTTCCCACTGACTATACTTCAAGTCAATTTCGACCACCCCCCCCCCCCCCCCCTCTCTCTCCTCCACCCGCCCCTCCCCCCACTCCCCCCTTCACGGCCAGGCTTCCGCCAAGCGCTTCCGAGTGACGGGGTCGGGCAAGGTGGTGCGCCGACGGGCGTGGCGCGCGCATTTGCTGAGCAAGAAGAGCCCCCGCCGGAAGAACCGCCTCGCCGGCATGGTACGTAGCGCTGGTCTGCCGGCATCGTACGTACCGCGCGGATCACTGATGCGCCTCGTAAACCGCCTCGCCGGCATGGTGCCTAGCCTTTAGCGGGCTTCAGGCGGCCTGGATCGTTCTAAAAAGTGCTAAGAGGTTTTGAGAAGCCTCCGAATGAGTTCGTAGCGGCCCGGGAGCAGGCTATAGAGCACCGCGTCGTCGGCTTCAGAAAGTGTGTGTGTGTCGGCTTAGGAGCGCCTGAAGGCGCGGCTTGCTCGGCTTTCGTGTGCGCGCGAGGGTCGTCGCTGGAGCGATGGTTTACCGTGGTTTATCTGGTGTCAAAGACATCTCAAACACAATCGCGGGTTGTCTGGCCGTATCGCTCTGCAGCGGCGATAGGGGTGCAGTAGTGGCGTGGATTGTAGCTGCGTGCACAGGATTACCGCTAAGCATTTTCGACACGCGTGATGGTTTAGCCATTGTTTGGGCAGAGATCGTTGCTCGTCCCTCGGGCTGTTCGCGGACAGTTTCGCTGGCAGTTTCGCAGGCAATTGCGCAGGCAGTTCGCATGCAGTTTCGTGGACAGTTTCGTAGGTGTTTCGCAAGCAATTTCGCAGGCATTCCGTGGGCGGAGTCCTAGTCGCTCCATGTTAAGGCGTGGTCGATTCGGGGGAAACGGGCGCGCCGCGTATGTGGAAAATGGGGGTAGGAGGGGGTAATACGATGGGAAAGGGAATGGTACCGGAGCGGAATGGGTGAAAGCAGAGTCGATTGGGGGGGGGGGGGGGGGGGGGAGAAGGGTGGGGTGGGATTGGTGGCTCACGCTGTATGCGCACAGTGGGTGTGGAGGTGGCAGGGAGGCGCCTCACGAACCAAGTGTCGTAGCAGATTATTCGGGAGATATTTGAAGGAGAGACAGTGGGAGTTCGGTGGGTGATTAATGTGGGCGGGCAGACCTACGTGGCTGCCTGTCGTACCTGCCTGTCGTGGCTTGGGCGCGAGTGCAATGGTGATAAGGTCATGGGTCTTGTCTCGGGGTTCAAAATGCATGCAAGATGCGGAGGAGTCCTCGGGGAAAGTTCAGTTTTGCACATTCGCTTGTTCTTTCGATTTCCACCTCCCCCTCCCCCCCTCTCTCCCCCCCTCTCCCCCCCCCCCCCACCCCCCACCACCTTCCCCCCTCTTCTACCACCCGTTTTTCCTTGATCCTCCACCCCAGTTCTCCTTACCTTGACCGTCCCTCTCCTTTTAAACTTGAAGTATTTCCTGACGACCTGGGCCAGATAGTGGGCGCCATGCCTTGCCTCGTCCCTCACTTCCTTCTCCACACGGCTTCTCACCACTCCTTTCCGTACCTTGCGCCCCTTCCCTTCCTTCCGTCCCTTCCCTTCCTTCCGCCCCTTCCTTTCGCCCCTGCCGATCCTTCCGTCCCTCCCCCCCCTTCCGCCGCCCCCCCCTTTATGCCCCGTCTCTGCCTCCCTTCACTCTGAATCTCCCGATGCCACCTGCTCAAGATAGAGTCTATTTTTTAGGCGCCTAAAAAATAGACTCCTCACGCATGGTCTCCTGATGGACAAGATAATGGGCGCCATGGCGTACGTCCTCTTTCATCGCTTTAACACCCCCCACCTTTCCCCTTTCCCCTCCCCCGTCCCCCTTTTCCCCCGTCGTGCAGACGGAGGTGTTCCGGGGCGACCTGGACAAGATAGTGGGCGCCATGCCTTACCTCAAGGTGAACCGCCAGCGCCTGCCGCCCTCTGCTATGGTGTATGAGGAGGAGGAGGGCGATGAGGACGCTGAGTAAACCCTGAACCCTGCAGCTGCTGCAGGGGTGGGGGTGGATGTTGCGTGCTCTGCTGTTTTCGGAAGGGGGGGTGATATTCGGTATAAATGGCAGAAAGGTTGTATCTACAGTGTTTGCGACCAATTTCATGTACGGTCACAGCATTTTAATACCCACCAGTCAAGGGAAAACTTGTTATGTTTCCCCATCACTGCCAACCCATTAAATATACTTCTAGAGTGAATGTAGTGCGCGTGAGTGTATCAGGGTCAGGCCCCTAGATTGCAGGAAATTTTTCCTGATTCAGGAAAAAAACAGAGTTGTTGCTGGTACCAGTCCTGATTGTCCAGGATTTTTCGAAAGGCATTTCCTGTTCTTTCAGCATTTTTTGGGGGGTCAACTCTGATTGCTAAGCAAAGTTTTCTTAACGAATCCTGAAATTTCAGCTTTGCAACGAAACTGTACTTGTTTCCGTCCAAGCGTGACCTGGGGGCCAGCAGAGATTTCCAAGGTTCTGGCCCGCCCTCCAGGCTCTGTGAGGGCGCTTATTGGCCCTTCACCAAATTCGTGGCTCGACGCGTGGGGGCAGTGTGAGGGAGGGCACTTGGTCCTTAGCCAAATTTTGGGCCCGATGTGTTCCTTAGAGCTTTGTATGGGCGAAATTTCCCTCAGCCCCTGCAATGTCGCCCACCTGACCCGATTCACCCTGCAAGCATAAATTCGCTACTAAAGCATGCGCTAAGAACCTCTAAGAAATCAGGAAAAACTCCATAAGTAACTCTGTCTGCTCAGGAAAAAAATATTTAGGAGTCCTGATTCACGAGGAATTTTTTTGGGACCAACCCTGAAAAATCAGAGTAAAACTCAGGGGGGATCCTGAGCGATCAGGGCTCCTAAAAACCAATATAGCGGCCTGATCAGGGTGTTACCCATCAGTGTATTTCGCTGCAGTGCGAGAAGCATTATTTTACATTGCTACATAAAATAATGACCAATGCTTAGGAGTTAGAACCCCAGAAAAGCTGCAGCGTTTTTGTTTGCACTGCAGTTTGAAACGAATCTGAAGGGGGACGCGCCTCGACACGTCATCATTACTACCTGCTCGGTTGCTCCTCCTCCTGTGCTGTCTCTGCACTGCATGCATGCATGTATGGTGCATTCCATTCCATCCAGCACTAGGTTCTGCGTTTCAAACGCAGGCAAAGGTAGAGGTGCGTGTTACAGTGCACTGCGCTACATGCACTATCCTTAGCACCCCACCATGTATCTGTCCCTCCCTGTGCTGTCTCTGCGCTGCACTACATGCAAGCATGCATGGCGCAATTCAAGTGCTGCTGAGAGCACTGGGTTCTGCCTGTAGGTGCTAGAGTTGGTACGGTATGTAACTGCATTGCTTGCAGAGCCCAACAAATCAAGGCTACCCGGTAGTGATGCCCAATACCAGTAGACTGGTACCGGAAATAAGTCATAGGTTGGTGCCGGCAGCGATGCCGACTGTGCTGCTGCAGTTGGTGGGTGGTGCCGCTGTTAGTGGGTGATGGTGCTAGGAGCCTGCTATTGAGGTCCCCCCTCCAAAGCAGCAGCTGCTGCTGGTGGTGGTGGTGGTGGTGGTGGTGGTGGTGCTGCTGCTGCTCCTGCTGCTGCTGCTCCTGCTGCTGCTGCTGCTGCTGCTGCTGATGATGATGATGATGCAGCAGCGAGGGGTGCTTCCCCTCAAGTGGGTCTGGCATGGAAGAAGCGCAGCATCATGGAGTAGAGGTTGTTGGGGTCAATGGGCTTCGTGATGTACCTGGTGGTGCGGTGCAGCAGTGTGGGGTGGGGTGGGTTGGGAGAATGAGAGGGTTCATGGAGAGGTACAGATGAGTGAGTTACGTACCTGAGGTGAATCACTACAAACGGTACGGTGTGGTAGGGTGTGGTGTGGTGCGGTGTGGCGTGGTGTGACATAGTATGGAATGGCATGTGATGGTGTATGTTAGCACACCTGCTTCCAGGCCCTACTCTGATCACCATGCTATGACCCCATGCACCATGCTACCAGATGCACCCCACACATAATCCACAGTCAAGGATGGCCTACAGTCACCCCGTCACCACCATCTCTTCACCTCCCCCTCACCCTCACAATTTCCCCCCTCCTCTACCCCCCCCCCCACCCCTTCACCACCCCCCACCCCCAACCCCCCTCCCTCCCTTCCTCCCCTTATCCTGTTGCGCACCCGTCCATGCCCGCCTGGCTGCACTTCTCCTTGGTGCCCTTGAGCACATCTGCTGTCAACTGGTGGGGCAGAGGGGTGCGGGGAAAGACGAAAGAGGGGAGGGGAGTGGGGAGAGAGGGGAGTGGGGAGAAGAGAAAAGAGAGGGGAAATAAGAGCGAGCTGAGAGGGGAGAGACTGAGAGGGGAGAGACTGAGAGGGGAGAGACTGAGAGGGGAGAGAGACCAGCAGCATAGCACTAACGTCAGGAGTGTTATCGGCAGCAACAAACCAACCACGAGCAACAGCTCTGAAGAAGCGAGAGCAGCAAAAGTGCGGGCACAACAGCTGGTGGAAGGCTGGCTGGAAGGAGGACCAGAAACGATGGGCAAGGGAGGGTGGGAGGGAAAGAGGGAGGGTGAGAGGGAGGGCTCACAGCAACAATGGGCACGCGCGGGGATGTGTGCTCCTGCTCTAACTGCCGCGCTCTGCGACAGGTCTCATAGCCGTCCATCTGCGCATGGCATGGGGTGGCATGGCATGGCATGGCATGGGGTGGGGTGGCGTGGGGTGGGATGGCATGGCAAGTCATTGCATGGCAAGGCATGGTGGTGGGGATGAGATGTATGGTGATGGAATGGGATGGGGATGGGGATGGGGATGGGGATGGAGATGGAGATGGGGGGAGAGGAGGGAAACTTAGTTGCTACAAACGCTCTGGCAGACGCAAACGCCAAACGCCAAACGCCAAACGCACCCCAAAACGTGAACGCTCTCTGAGATTTTTTTCGGGCTGCCCCCCCGAAAAAAAACACGAGATTGTTGTTGGAGAATAGCCTTAAGGATAGGTGATTTACATGACATATGAGGATGCTGGCTTAAATGTTAAGCACGGTTCTTTTTTATAAGACAAAATGCTTGCTGGTAGAACCCCCATGTTTCCCTCCTCCCCCACAGGAATCTTGAACCCCTGTCCGGGTAAAAATTTTACCCCTGCCCGGGCAAGCGTTTGCGCAGCGTTCACATACACACTGCCGAGCGTTTAGCGTTCAAACGCTAGCGTTCAAACGCCAAACGCGTTTGTAGCAACTAAGGAGGGAAATAAGGGGGTTGGGATGAGAGCATTTCATGAGAAACACTGGAGTTAAAGATGCACTGAATCGGAGCAGCAACATGGTGGATGCATGCACGGCAACAACCAGTGCTGAGGTGATTAGGAGTTTGCAAGCAAGGTGTAAAGGTGGTCATTGAGATAGGATGCATGCATGTCGCATGCATGGTCCATGTTGCATGCATGGTGCATGGAACCAGGTATGTGCGTGTGAGCATGAGAGCACGTAAGACGAGTGGAGATGGAGGAAGCTAGTGAAGAGAGGAGGTGGGAAGAGAAAATATCTGAGATGTGAGGAGATTTGAGGAGGAGATGTGAGGAGGAGATGCGAGGAGGAGATGTGAGGAGGAGATGCAAGGAGGAGTGCACGCACCTCAGGCATCTGGTTGTCGCAGCGAGGAGGAAGATAGCGAGGGGTAGAAGGTAGTAGGAGTATGTTGTCAGTGCATGCATGCACAGACATGGGCCAAGGGAGGAAGACATGCACACACATGCACGCATGCATGCACATGCACACATACGCACCAATACACACCCACCCGCACACACACGCAAGCACGCACGCACACACACGCAAGCACGCACACACGCACAGCAAAAAATAAAGCAGGTGAGAAAGAAGGTGCGACTTTGGAAACTGCAGGGCGCATCGATCAACGTCAGCCTCTAGCAACTGCCCCAAAAAGGCAATAAACAAGCCTGAGAGCCTCTGAGGGGAGGGCACGTCTCTTGACCCTCAAGAAAGCCACACGGCCCTGAGCCCACCTGCAGGTCCGTCAACACGAGGTCCAACGGGTGCAGTGCCTGCAGCAATGTCTGTGTGGGAAGGGCACGACAAGTAACCTAAACCCTGAACCCTGAACCCTGAACCCCACGTGCACGCCAAGCCCCACCTGCAGGTCCATGAAAACAAGGTCGAACAGGTGTGGCAGCTGCAGCAGCGGATAAACAGCCCATTCTCTTGAACCCCAAAATCTAATCCACGCCCCACCTACCTGCAGGTCCATGAAAACAAGGTCGAACTGGTGCGGCGGCTGCAGCAGCTGCAGCGCCCGCTGGCCGCTGGAGGCTGTGGCGGTGGATACACCGTACTTGGACAGCATCTTGCACGCCACCCGCAGGTTCACTGGGGAAGGGGGTGGGAGGGGAGGGGGGAGGGAGTTGTGGGGAGTGGGGGGGAGGGTTTGCTGAGTGCCTAACCCGCTGGATACACCGTACTTGGACAGCACCTTGCAGGCCAACCGCAAATTCACTGCGGGGAGGGTTGGGTAAGAGTTGGAGGTGGGGGAGGAGGCCGGGTTGAGGTGGGAGGGACAAGAAGGAATGGATGCCAGGCTATGGGCACTCACCCATGTTGTTATCCACATTCCACAGACACAATCCGGCTTCCCCCATCATGAGTGAGCTAGGACCATTTCCCTGAAATCACCCCCATTCCCCCGGAAATCCACACCATCTCCCCCCCATTCCCCCCATCCTTTCCCCCTGGCGCCCCCCCCTTTTCCTAAAGCCACTCACACATGTTGTCAGCCACTCACCCATGTTGTCAGCCACTCACCCATGTTGTCAGCCACTCACCCATGTTGTCATCAACACACAGGATCCTCTTCCCCTTCATCATCTGCTGCAGCTTCTCAGCCACAGTCGCCCCTACGGGCGCGCCCGGGTTCGCCACATGAGACGAGTCCAGCCGCGACAACCCCAGGGCCTGTACCAGCGCCGCACCCACCGACGCCCTCCGCAGCGGCTTCAGCAGCAGCACCGCCACGCCAGCTGCTGCTGCCACCCCCTCGACCTCGGGGCCGGTGCGGGCTACCACGAGCACGACTGGACAGCGGGTGAAGAGGCGGTTGGAACGGATTGCGGCTAGGGAGAGCTGCCAGGAGGGGGTGTCGGTGTCGATTAGGATGACTGAGAGGGGCGGGGGGTTGGTGGGGGTGGCGGGGGGAGGAGGGGTGGAGAGAGGGCGAGCGGGGGGAAGAGCAGTGGGGTGGGGAGCGGTGAGTGGTGGGGTGGTGAGGGGGGGAGTGGTGAGGGGAGGGGTGGTGAGGGGAGGAGTGGTGAGGGGAGGAGTGGTGAGGGGAGGGGTGGTGAGGGGAGGGGTGGTGAGGGGAGGAGTGGTGAGGGGAGGAGCGGCAGCAAGTGGACGGGCAGGAGTAGGGGAAATGGAGGGGGGACGAGTAGCAACAGGGGCATCAGAAGCAGCCACAGCAGCAGTTCGCGTAACAGCAGTGTTGCTATTACTGCTGCAGACGGCATGGACAGCTGTCGTGGTGGGGGTGGTGCTGGTGCTGGTGCCTGTGGTGGTGGTAGAGGTGGTGGTGGTGCTGCTGCTGCTGCTGCTGCGATTGCTGGTGCGAGTGTTGGAGAGGAGAGCGTCGAAGAGGGTGCTGCTGTTGCCCTGTTGCTGCTGGTGCTGTGCCTTGCGGTGGGCAACAGACGACAGCAGAGTACTCAGGCTGCTGCTGCTGCTGTTGTTGGTGACGCTGCTGCTGCCATTACTGGAAACGTTGCTCCTGCTGTCACTCAAGGGAGCAGTAGCAGAGCACACTGGAACCCCCCTCCTTCCTGCCACATTTTCTCCCCCGTTACTCAGCCCAGCTCTGCCTTGATCTGACTTCCCCTCTCCTTCCTCCTCCTCCTCATCTTCCTCTTCCTCTTCCTCCTCCTCCTCCTCTTCATTACTCTCTGCTTCCTTCGCCTTCTCCTTCACACTCTCTCCTTCC